CATCCATACAGGACTATTGGAAAAACCATAGCTTTGACTTAACAGACCTGTTGGCAAAGTAAAGTCTCTGCTTTTTAATATGCTATCTAAAAAAATAATTTTAATAATATGCTATCTAGGTTGGTCATAGCTTTTCTTCCAAGGAGCAAGCATCTTTTAATTTCATGGCTATAGTCACCATCTGCAGTGATTGCAGATGGAGCCCAAAAAAATAAAGTTTGTCACCATTTTCATTGTTTCCCCATCTATTTGCCATGAAGTGATGCAACTAGATGCCATGATTTTAGTTTTATGAATGTTGAGTTTTAAGCCAACATTTTCACTCTCCTCTTTCACTTTCATCAAGAGGCTCTTTAGTTCTTCTTCACTTTATGCCATTTGTGTTGGTTGCTGCTGCTGCTAAGTCGCTTCAGTCATGTCCAACTCTGTGCAACCCCATAGACAGCAGCCCACCAGGCTCCTCTGTCCCTGGGACTCTCCAGGCAAGAATACTGTAGTAGGTTGCCATTTCCTTCTCCAGTGTGTTGCTTAGAGGGAATCAAAGTTGAACTAAAATTCCTTAACAGTTTAACCAGCACCTCTGGATGCTCCAAGCTCATGAGATGCAAACAGCACTTTGAGAACCCAGTCGGAGACCTCCAGGGACCAAAACTACACTATGTCCAAAGAAGCCAGCATTTCTGGTTGCACCAGAAAGTGAAATGTACCTTTGAAGCCAGATGTTGTGAATATTCTCTATTCTTCAGGTCCTAGAGAAAAGATTCCAAGTGGCTAGTAATTGTATGTTTTTTCTTCTTGACATTCTGTAACTATTTGGGGTCCGTTGATAACTACACATGGGTATATACATATGTAACTTTAATCCAACACCCCTACAAAATCAGTTTCTCTTTCTTGCCCAGGCCTATAATGGAACTTAAAAGAATATACATGAACTGGACTAGTATCACCTCACCCCTTCTCTTTATTTTTTTATATTTCTCACAACAACCCTCACTATATATTGAGCCTCAGGTGGTTAAATGACATTTTATATCACACACCCAGCAAACAGTTGGTGAACTTTCTTTCACTCTCAGAAACTTTCTAGACTTGCTTCTTCTTTGCAGCTCTCTTGGCACTTGAGTTTAACTACCTTCTGGAGCATAGAGCAGGGCTCCCTAACGTGGGCACAGAAGCCCAGCAAATAGGATCTTCTGCCTTTTGGAAAGAGAGAGAGAGATTCTTCTATTTGTGCACCCCAATGCCAGGTACAGCTCAAGTCTATCCTCTATACAGTGATATATCACAAAATTAGCCCTAGATGCTGAGGAATGCTCCTTCAGATCATTCTGGTAATCTATCTGTTCTGTGCATCTCAGTGGTAGACCCCCAACTGCAGAATGAGGAAAGAAATCTCTCAGGAGTGAAGAGGCTAGGTAGACAGGGGAGAACAAAGCAGGAAGCAAAGAAGAGATCAGGCACATGGCAAAATTTCCCAAGATTCTAGAGAAAGAAATAAACATTCAGGAAGCCAAGTGCTCAGGGGATGGGGTCAACTGGTACTTCAGTTCACAGCTAAGATAATCCCAACTACCCTTCTGCCTTCTGAGACAAAATAGAGCCAATGCTCTTGGTTCTGGGTTGGGACAGGGGGACGTCTGCCCCATGTAAAACTCTCTTCTCTAAGAAATACCCTGTGAGATCCTACTACACTGTTAATAAATTCCCCTTTTGGATGAAAGTCTTACTCTTAGACTTTCCCAGGAAGGCACCTTAGTCCTGCCCTCAAGCTATGCCCAGTTTCTTCCATTCAGGACATTTCCTGATTCACACTCTTCATTTAGTAAACATTTAGTCTTCTTGACTTCCTCTGTCTATTAGTTTTCTCCCAGTGCGTGCACACGCACACTCAGTTGTGTCCAATTCTTTGAGACCCCATGGACTCACAGCCCACTAGGTTCCTCTGTCTACGGGATTCTCCAGGCAAGAATACTGGAGTGGGTTGCCATTTCCTCCTCCAGGGGATCCTCCCAAGCCAGGGACTGAACAGGTGTCTCCTGCATTGGCAGGTGGATTCTCTACCGTTGAGCCCCCTGGGAAGCCCCAATCCCTAGGTCTGCTCTAAAAAAAAATCATCATAAAATGGGTGACTTAGAACAACAAAAATGTTATTTCCTCAGAGTTCTGGAAGCCAGAACTCCAAAACTGAGGAATCAACAGGACTCCCTCTGAAAAATCCAGGGGAGGTCCTTGCCTCTTCTAGCTTCTGGTGGCTCCAGGAATTCCTTGGTCCACGGCAGCCAAAGACCAATTTCTGCCTCCATTTTCATATCAGCTTCTCCTCTCCTCTTTTACAAAGACACTTATTATTGGATTGAGGATTCAACCAGTAATGTAGGATAATAATCTAGGATCATCTCATGATCCTTAACTACATCTGCAAAGGGCCTTTTTCCAGTGAGATCACATTCACAGGTTCTGGGAATTAGGACATGGCTATACCTTTTGGGGAGACCCCATTCAACCCTCTATATCCGCACTGAGCGGAGCACAGAAACCTTACTTTCCGTTTCTCTGTTTACTTTCCATCTTTAAACAGCCCTGTCAGATAGAACTTTCTGTTACAATAGAAATGTTCTATATCTATGCTGTCCAACATGGCAGCCATATGGAGCTATTGAGCACTTAAAACACTAGCTAATAAAATCGAATGTCTAAATTTTTTAAATTTTATTTAATTTTAATTCAAATGTAAATAGCCCCATGTGGTTAGTGGCTGCTATAATCGATAGTTACAGTTATAAAACTTTTTAGTAGAATCTACTTTATATATATTTTTCCAACTTTAATGAGGTAGGGTTGACTGATAAAAATTACATATATTTAAGGTCTACAATGTGATTATTTGATGTGTGTGTGTATATATATATATATATATATGCTTATATATATAGTTAAATGCTTACCATGATCAAGTTAATGAATACATCCATCACCTCACATAGATAACTTTGTATGTGTGTGGCGAGAAGATTTAAGATCTACTCTCTTAGTAAGTTTCAAGCATATAATACAGTACTATTATCTATAGTCACCATGCTCTACATTAGATCCCCAGAGCTTATTTATCTTAAAACCCCTTTGACCAACAATCTCCCTAACCCCACCCCATTCCACCTACACTCCTGTCAATCACAATTCTATTCTCTGTTTCTATGTCCTCAAAGTTCATATGTTTTTGTCAAACAGGTTTTTCTTCTTCTCATGACTGAATATTATTCTACTGCATGCATATATACCACATTTTCTTTATCCACTCATTCATTGATGGACTTAGGTTGTTTCCATATCTTGAAAGTTGTAAAATTTTGACTATGCTTACCTACTATCATCTTCTCCTTTCCTCATTTGTCCTTATGATTTTATGCTCATTTCTTTATTTTCCTTCTCATGAGATTATAGGAAATAGGAAAAATAAATACGTGAGATTGTGGAAAGCAGCAAAAATAAATATATGTGTTCACAAAAATAAGGTGGCTTCCCTGGTGGCTCAGACAGTAAAGAATATGTCTGCAAGCAAAAAGAAATACAGGTAACAATGATAAACATATGTGCATAGTCTGCCATATTTAACTGGATGACCCTATCAGTTATCATGGAACTAGTTCATATTATCTCATTATGATGAAAACTAACACATGGGAAAGAGGTGGGGTTAATTAACAAATTCAGTACTTGGCTGGCTTTTTCTGGGTAATTTTGGCCAAAATCTCAATCTTAGGACAGAAACAAAATGGAACAATGGTACCTTGAGATTGCAAAAGCCAGGGCACCCTGCCCCGCACTCATGACTCTTTTGGAAACTTATACTACCTTAAAAGAGTATGGAAGTCATTAGGCCAATAGAACTTTAAATGATGTTATTAGCTTTGTTATACCTACAACACCATGTGAATCTGGCATAAGTACAAGGTCAAGTCTGATTCAGACAACAAAGACTTCCCAAAGATTTCATGAATTTCAAAATTATAATTATTTTCCCAAATCTCTTTCCAATTTGAATTCCTTCAAATTCTGCTCCTTTTTGTCACCAAGGAAGAAAGGCAGGCAAAGCAAAGCTTTATCTTATCATAGTGACCAACAGCTTTATCTGTAGTTTGTCAAAATAAGTCATGATCAGACTCCTCAAGGTTAGGTCAAACTTCAAAATCTCAAATTATCCGTCTTCTACTCATCCAGTAGGAATCTGGTCACCCTGTTCACACTGGGCTATAAGCAAACCTTTAATATGTATGAAAGGAAGAATCAGAAACCAAGCATACAAAAAAGGAAGAAACTTGCTTACAAGTAAATTGCAAAGAAGACAGACTTCAAGAGAATGGATTGAGCAAATAAAAAACATAAAGAATGTATTAACTTTTTTCATTGCCAAGGTTAATGAGTTTATAGTTAGTCTATTCATGAAGAAAAAATTGCAATTTTCTTGCACCTAACATCTGCATATGTCATAATCTGTCTTCAGACATTAGTTTTGCAAAGTCAGGCAGAATTGCTTTGTTAGGGTCTCAGTAGCTTACAGGAAATGCTCAAGAAGCCTTTTGTCTTAGAGACTAAAATTATGCAGAACACATTTGTTATTTTTTATTTGACTCAGAGTGCAGTGTGGGTTTTCTTTTCTCCTAGCTGTGGAATGATGGGCACACCTATTCATAAAGGTGGCAGGGCCACATCAATTTTACTTTCACAATAGATAGGACTCAATTAGCTACTAATAAATTATACTTAGAAAGCCATTATGCAGATGACTAAAGCCAACAAGCCATTCAATGTCAGTTAATGTGGATGCAGTATAAAGGCTTCCTACAACAATAACATATTAGAAAAGAATACTGGCTTAAAGAACAATAATTGGCAAGTAGCACCTAGTAAGAGACATACCTGGCAAGACTCCAGGACATCCCTGCTCCTGCATTTAAGATGGCCAACTGGTTTTAAATCTGAACTATCATTCCAATTGCAAAGACAATTTGCAATGGAGCCAAATAGTGATGATCGAGTAGCTGAGACATGCTATGCTTATTGGTTTAAAGAAAAAAGAAAAGAACCTTGTAATCTGTCTCAAAGATCCTTAACACCTTCCCTTCAAAAAAAAGTCTTGATTTTTTTCTATATTGTTTTTAAGTTCTGTTTATTGCATTTTAAATCATCTGACATAAAAAGCTCCAACCTCAAGAACCCCCTAGATAAGAGGATGTATCTATTTCTAACAAATGTGCCCTTTATACTGATCCCAATGAAGACATATGAGAACCCCAGCAAGAGGATGATATGGTATCACTTTACATTAGCAATCCTTAAGCACTTGTTCATCTTTAACTCAAAAGGATTTTCAAGTTTTCTACGCCTTATATTCAGAACATGAGATTATACATACGAATATTAATTTATGATTTCCCCCTGCCCAGTGTCTTCCACCACACCTTTCTGTGATAGATCAAATATGACCACCAATTTTTTTTTTGCAAGAAATGGAGTCTATTTTCCAATTGCTTGAATCTGAGTTGGCCCTGTGGTCTGCTTTGACCATTAGAAGGAGGGATAAATGACCTGTGTGACTTTCAAGCTTCAGCGCACTTGTAGCTTCCACGGTCACCCTCTGGAACACTGACACCTTAGGAATAAGCCAAGCAAGCCTTCTCGAGGATGATGGCCTTCCTGGAGTGAGGCATCAATGGAAAGAGAGTCCCAGCCACCCCATCCATCCCAACTCTCCCAGCTGACACCTCAGACATATGAATGAAGTCATCCGGCACAAGCCGGCCCCAAGCCAGCTGGATTCAAAAATCATGACTGGTTAGCATAGCCAACCCCCAAGGTAGCAGAGATGAGCCACCCCAGATGAACACTGTCCATGTTAGCAACCTACAGAACGACGAGCAAAGAAAGCACTGTAATTTAAAGCCACTAGATTTTGGATCTGCGATGTGAAAGCATATGACTGAGACACATCCCATTTGACATATTAGGCTAAAATTAAGGCATCTCATACCTATTAATTCCCACATGAAATTAAGAGAAGAGGTAGGACCTGACCAAGTGCCACTAGCAACAGAGTCACTTCTTTTTGCAGATATCCCCTAGCTCCCAACATGACAACTCCAATTCTGTAAATTTCTATTCCATGCCTCTTACCTCCCCTAAAATAACAAAGTATCTGGGCAAGTCTCCCACTCATCACACCATCAGCACTAGTGTGTCAGGACTCTGCGAGGTGATGCTAAACAATAGTGAACAAACAGATACACACTCTGCCTTTATGGAACTTACCATATAGTGGAACCTATATTGACAGCTAATTATAAAGTTAGTTATTGGGGCTTCCCTGGTGACTCAGTGATAAAGAATCTGTCTGCCAATGTGGGAGACACCAGTTCAATCCCTGATCCAGGAAAATCCCACATGCAGTGGAGCAACTAAGTCCATGCAACACCACTTCTGAGCTTGTGCTCTGAGCCCAGAAACCTCAACTAGAGAGTTGCCCCCACTTGCTGCAACTAGAGAAAAGCCTATGCAGCAACAAAGACCCAGCACAGCCAAAAACAAACAATAAATAAAAAGAATAGGGCTGATGGACATTAAGTTAAATATTAAAATACGTCATTCAACAAAACATTAAAAAATAAAGATAGTTATTTTGATCACAAGTGTGGTAAGTGCCAAAAAGGACAAGCTCAGAGGGCCACACATGTACCTAACAGGAGTCTGACCAGACCTGGGAGATCATGGAAGGCTTTTCTGGGGAGCTGATTTTCAAGGTAAGACCTGAGGAATAAGCAGGAATTATATGGCAGGGAGGAGGGAAACTTTTTCACAAGGTCTTGAAACAGGAAAGGGGAGTGATACCTCAAAGGACAGAATGCCAGTGAGGCAGGATTGCAGAGAGTGAGGAAGCATGCGGGTGAGACAAGATTAACTTTATATTGAGCACAAGCATTTCTTCTTGTAAACAGTGTAACTCTGACCTCAGGGCACACCCAAGGGCAGAAAACATGTGCCCTAAGACAGGAGGTCATTACCAAAGATGATGGAAGAAAATGAGAGAGTTGAAGCGAAACAGCAGGAGAAACTTCTGAGTGACGTTAGCCACCCCACACCAAGTAATTCTAACATTTTATTCACAGAATTACAGAAAGTAAGGCAACGGGAGCTTAAAATTTTATGGCCCACTACTGAATAGAACAGACAACCTGCTCAATATTCTATATTCTGTAACAACCTAAATGGGAAGAGAATTTGAAAGAGTAGATACATATACAAATAGAACTGACTCACTCTGCTGCACACCTGAGACTAACATTGCGAATCAACTATGCTTCAATATAAAATTTTAAAAATAGAAAAAATTATGGTCCAAAACCCTCGTTTTATAAACTGGGAAACTGAGGGCCAAGGAGCAAGAATCTTGTCCACAGTGAGAGGATCTTGGGCAGAGTCAAAGCTCAATCCTATATCTACTTTCTAACTGCTTTCTCACTGCTTCTTGTACACAAAATCCCTCCCCACGCATCACATCAGTTCACCCTCTTCACCACTCTAAGAAGGAGGTGGGGCAGATACTGTGATTCTGATCAGAAAGAAAATGAGGCCAAGACTAAGCAAAGCTCCCATTGCTAAGAGTTCAGACTAGAACTCAGGATTCTGGCCCGTCATCAACTCGATTAATTCAGTAAACATTTGCCAAGCACCTGCACTGTGCAAGCCCCTATGCTGCTGGGGAGAGTCAAATGAATAACTACACGTGTTTGAGTGAGAGAAAGTCGCTCATTCATGTCTGACTCTTTGTGACCCCATGGACTATACAGTCCAAGGAATTCTCCAGGCCAGAATACTGGAGCGGGTAGCCTTTCCTTTCCCTGGGGATCTTCCCAACCCAGAGATAAAACCCAGGTCTCCCACTTTGCAGGTGGATTCTTTACCAACTGAGCCACAAGGGAAGCCCAAGAATACTGGAGTGGGTAGCCTAACCCTTCTCCAGGGGCTCTTCCCAACCCAGGAATCAAACCGGGGTCTCCGGCACTGCAGGCAGATTCTTTACCAACTGAGCTATCAGAGAAGCACCACACATGTTTATAATCCAGCAAAAATTAGCTTCTGTGAAGAGAAGGGAACTTCACGTCACCCTTCTCACTTCTGGGCCCTAGGGTCCCTGAGAAAGTGTGCAGTCTTCTCCTGTTCTTACTAAGTCCAGGTAGACAAGAGGGTTCAGCCTGAGTGTCAGACCTGTAGCTACTGGGAAGGTCCCAATAGCAGCTAGATTTCTTTGGTTACAGGCCACAGAAACAATGGGCTTTCCAGCATAAACATAAGTGCATGGGAACCAACGGGAAGACTAGAGAACAATTAATAGATGTGACCACCAACCAGAATCCAACTGCTCCAGAGGCTGAGAAGGAGGAGTTCAGGAATTATCTTTGAGCAGGAATTAACCTATCTGCCAATGGGACACATGGATTCCAGGAAGGAACACTCCAGGAAGGAACATCCAACTGGTCTAACCTGGCTCAAATCCTAGCTCTTGTCTAGTGAAGGTCAGTGCACCAGATTGGAAGGACAAGGCAACAAACCTAACATGATGCTATTAGGAAGGTGGAAAAGATTTTAGGCAGCCAAAGGAAAAACAATGCATAAGACTCAGTGCATGCCTCGGGTCTTAGAGTAAACAGAATACCAATTCCGCCCTTTCAAAAATAAAACTGGGCATCAATTCCAAGTACTTTTTTTTTTTTCACTTAAAAAATACTTCATTGCTAAAAATGCCAATATAATCACAATAGTAATATCAATGATCACAAAGATCACTGATCATAGATCATCATTACAAACATAATAGTAATAATTATAATATTTGAAGTACTGCAAGAATTACCAAATGTAACACAGACACAAGGTGATCAAATGCTGTTGGGAAAACAATACCAACAGACTTACTCTATACAAGGTTGCTACAAACCTTCAATTTGTAAAAAAAAAAAAAAAAAACCCTGTGAAGTACAATAAAGTGAAGCCCAATAAAACAAGAGATGCCTTTAAAGGCAGGTACTTAAGGAAAGTTGATAGAATAGTCTTGTGGATTAAATTTCAAGTTCAGCAACTTGGATGAATTATAAGTTGAATTCCCAGCACTCTTTGTCTATAAAGACTCCATATGAACCACCTTAGTGGTAATAACAGTTCTGTAAGTGTTAGTTACCCACACATCAACTACCACAATTGGAGCAAGAGTGTAAAAAACACACAACCAACCATGCTGAGCCTCAGACAGCCTTCTCCAGGAACAGAAACAATAATCGTCACATGCTTCTGCCACCCATGGTTTATCACTGCTACTGTTGAGGGGATAAACAATAATAATGATAATAAAATAATTGTCTCTAGGAGCACCAGACTAGGCATTTTTTTTTTCTAATTTACCAACAAGATTTAATGAAACCCCTCAGCAAACCATAAGCACTTTACCAAAGCCCTTAGGAGCCTCAGTTCTCACAGGATCCCGGCGAGGTCATTATTAGAGTGTCCTTGGCCACACTGGTCCAGAATCAAGGCCAACAGAATCGGTAAAGATCATGCCCACAGCACCGTCCTACCACTGGTTGGAGGGATCACCACCCTTAGGAAAATTTACCAAGATAGTAGTTTTCCCATCTTCGCACTTTGTAAGTTATTGTCCTCCACTTGCTGAGGTTTATCCTTTCAATTCCTTTGCTGATTAAATCACTGAAGAGTATATACTGGTAAGAATAGACACCATCCACAGACTGCAGAGAAAACTCCTTCCTGTTATTGATGATGAACCATTTCAGAGAAGACCAGGCTGAGTCTAAAGGGTTCAGGTAATTGTAAGGAGAAGGCAGAGTGAGTAATTTATGGCCGTAGGACTTGGCTACCTCAGGACAACACGTGATGCTTGTTAAGTTAACCACTGAGGGGACATGGACCTGGGCCTCAGTCTCTTTGCCTTCCTTCGGCCTCATCTCATCCTGCCGCCTTCTCTCTTTGACCACGATGGCGCATTTGCCATAGGTCTTCTTCACCACATCACAGAACTCAAAGAAGAGGTTGTCTTCCTGTTTGACGCATAACTCATCCCTTAGGAACATTCGATATTTCCACGGCACCCATCCTTGACTACCACCAGCATGCACAACACACCAGGTTGGAGTTGGCATGTAATAACCATCACTAAAATCTTCCCCAGTTACAAGACTCTCAGGGATATCGGTTTCCCCAAAATATACTGTTGTAAACCCATCATATTGCAGTGTTCTCAGTGTTTGCAAATACTGGAGACATTGCTTCCTCTTGATGCTATTGAATAGATTTCTGGTAATGATGTTTCTCAAAAGAGGTTTTGCAAAGTGAGGCATGGTAGGTCTTCAAGTATTTTTCAAAACTTGCCTGTCTCCCCTGGCCAGAGTAGGATGATGACCTCATAAAGGACTTTCTTACAGCTGAGCTGGTCCCATGGATACACTTTGGATTTCAAAGCAACATGGAACACACTGAGAACAGTTCCTGTCTGGCGTCTATGATACGGAAACAGGAATTGCTAGCTATCCACGATGGTATATCACATCTGCAATAGGTCTGGAAAGAGACTGATAGTTGTGTTAGTTTGCTAAGGTTGTATAACAAAATAGCTGAAATTAACTTTTTTGCAGTTCTGAAGGCTGGAAGTTCAAGATCAAGGTATCAGCAGCCCTGGTTTCATCTGAGTCCTTTCTGCTTGGCTTGCACATGGTCACCTTCTTGCTGTGTTCTTATTTGGACTTTCCCCCTGTCTGTCCTAATCTCCTCTCCTTATAAAGTCACCAGTTCTTTGTGATTAGGGTCCATCCCTTGAACCTCATTTTGCCTTGAAGTGAAGTGAAGTCGCTCAGTCGTGTCTGACTCTTCTCGACCCCATGGACTGTAGCCTACCAGGCTCCTCTGTCCATGGAATTTTCCAGGCAAGAGTACTGGAGTGGGTTGCCATTTCCTTCTCCACAGACTAGGCATTTTCTATGCACTGTCTTTTCTTTTACTCACACTGATTTATGGCATGAAAAATACATTGGATAAAACTTCATTCTGTTTCATGGCTGTCCTTGGCCAATATCTTCTCTTTTTTATTTCTAGAAGTCTCTAGTGATTACCTCTACCACCAGCAGTGGACACTACTGGTCTAGCTGAAAACAATAAAGATATTCTGCAGAAAAGTCTTCCAGATGAAAAAAAAAAATATTCCAGAGAAAGAAAGTTGCAGGGAACACTGCCTTGAGCTTTCTCAAAAGCTAACTTGTACCATCCTGCAATATTTCCTCTGGCTTCTAGGTTTAAGTATTTTGCTTTTAGATTGACTTTGTAGGTGTGACATAAAAAGGAGAATCAACTTGTTTGCAAATATAAATCACAGACAGGCCTGAAGTCCCAGTCTTGCTAGGAAACAGGTAGCCTGGAGAATTTACCCTTGCAGTGAATATCCAGGGATAGTCTAAGATAGATTTGCACTGGTTACTGAATCTGGTTAGCAAGCTGGTACACAGCTTGGTTAGCTGGCAGAGCAGCTCAGAGCAGCCTCTCTCTCTGCAAGTGCAATCATCAGCAAGTAGAAAAGTGCAGTGGTGAGAAAGTCCATGTATCAGTCTAGGAGCATCCTGCTTTGTCTACTTTTTATAGTCACCATAAAACAGCTGAATTTTTACATACTTCACAATTAAAGAAATGACATACTGATAAACAGTATCTGTGGCATTTTTTCATCAGTCATAGCACCACCATGCATTTACACACACATACATGACTCTTAAGAATATTCCTGACTCAAAAAGCAGCACTCTGGGGAAGAAGAGCTGTTAGGTCAAGGAATATTGATCACCTGTGGGATAAATGGAGGAGAGGGGTTTTATGTGCAGTGAGTATAGGTGGTAGTTCAAAAAATAAATCTTTCAGAGGGAGACCAAGGACCAGCTAAAGATAAAACGAAGAATAAATATTTGTCAAAGGATTTAACAAACAGAAAAGATAGGGAGAAGGCTAACCCTATAATACTGCATTAAAAAAAAAAACTAAAAGCTTGGAATAATTTCAGGAGTCTAGTAGATCACTGAGCACTGAGGGCAGACACCTAGAGATACAGGCATGAAGGTACCAAGGTGTTAGTCAAAATTACTTACAGCGTTAGTCTAGGTAAAAATGGACATTAAATAAATGAAGGTAAAAGAAAAGCATAGATATGAATGTATTTGTTTAGTTAGACTATTTTTGAACGGTAAAACATACAGACCCTAGTTATATCCTATTTTGGAAGTACAGTACCATTGACTTTAAACAACACAGGTTTGAACTTCGAGGGTCCACTTATGTGTGGAATTTGTTCAACAGTAAATACCACGGTACTGCACAATCTGCACTTGGCTGAATCCTGTGGACGTGACACCTGTGGATGGCCGATTATAAATCATATTCAGATTTTCAATGGCATAGAGGGTCACAGCCCCTCACACCCGCGGTGCATAAGGACAGATAAAGATTCAGGAAGCTCTCAGCCACCAAAGTGTTAATCTGAGGCCAAATGTCCAACATTAAGAGAAAGAAGGCGGCTCACAAAAAACTGGAACCAAAGTTTGTCACTGTTCAGGTCTGGCAGCAGCTCTGGGAACCCAGGGCATCTTGTCATCTCATCAGAAACAATAATCCATAGCTTCCAGCTGCTTTATCAATTGCATCTCAAATTTATATTTTTTTAAGAAAACATGTCTGATTAGGTCAGATATAGGACATTCATGCATGTTCCAAATCACTAGATGAGCTTTAATCTCCCATAATTTCAGCCTATGTAAGGTGGCTTTTAATCACGTATTAATTGAACACCTAACTACGCTCTAATCATTGACTCAGGCTCTGAGGATGCAACCAGAATACAAAATCCCTGCCCTCACAGAGCTTATTGGGGAAGTCAGGGTGGGGAGCAGGGCAAGCATGAAAATCTTAAGATAATAACTATAACACTAGTCTGAGAAGGACATGGTTCTCTTAAGCATTAGAGAGTTCCTAACCCAGACCTGGTTGAGGGGGGAGGTCAAGAATATTTCACAGAGGAAGTGACATCTACAATAGCCAAATGTATGTGTGGTGGTGGCAGGGGGAAGGGAAGAATGGGGTGGGGGAAGGGAAGGGAAGGGTGGAAGAAGTGACCCTAATGCAGGAAGAACAAAATATGCTAAGGCCAGACAGTAATGTATCTGGCCTCAGTTACAAAAATGTACACGGGTAAATTTGGTGGGACTGGAGCATGAAGAGTGATGTGAGGAGAGCAAAAACTGTAGTCAAAAGCAGGAATCAGTAAACACAAAGAGAAACTATTCAAGGGCTTCGGACAGAAGAGTGATGTAGGTGATAACACTTACATTTAAGGAATGAGCACCCTGGGAGGCAAGTACCTCCAAAGTCACCAGAAATGATCCCCTATTGTGGCAGCCCCCAGCACCACCTGGCCAGGTACCCAGAAATCCGGGGCAGCAAACTCACACCAGCACCCACCACAGCATGGCACCCCGGTTATGCCTGATCAGGAGGAAGAGAGAAATACGTCCCTAGCATATCTCCCTTTCATTTGCAAAGCTGGGATTTCTAGAAGCTTGAAGTGCCCTGGGTCACTGTGGATGTGCAATGTCACCTTGGTGCTACTGTTCTGTATTGCTGAAAATGTTTCCTTGAGCCCACATTGCTTCCAAAAGTGAGAAGAGTATCCTAGCCTGAGAAGGATACTGGTTGTTTTACCTCATTTGTATTAGTTATTTTCCTTTACACATTCCATTGCATTCATTTACCTTACCTGACTGGTGCCTCCTTGATTAGCAGTCTATGGCCAAAGTTGCCCTTCCAACTTCAGAACATTTGATATTGTAGAACAAACTGCCAGTAGGTCAGAATGTTTTGAGCTTAGGCTATTTAATTCATTCAAAACAGTACAAATCACAATCTTGTGGTCCCTATTATTAGCAGTGGCCAAGTAGCTGTTAGGAACACTGGCGTGGGCTCAGTCACTCAGTCGTGTCAGACTTTTTGTGACCCCACGAACTATAGCCCACCTGGCTCCTCTGTCCATGGGATTTCCCAAGAATCCTGGAGTGGGTTTCCATCTCCTTCTCCAGAGTATCATTCCCCAACCGAGGGATCAAACCCACGTCTCCTGTACTGGCAGGTGGATTCTTTACCACCTCAGATGGATTCTGAGCCATCTGAGAAGCTCAAGACTACTGGTGTAAAACTAAGAATATTACATACAAAGTTCCAAAACACATTCTGAAGTCAAGCCATCAGATTTCAGTAAGATAACTAGTGAAATGTTCATCTCTTTCTCTCTCTCTCTCTCTCTCTCTCACACACACACACACACACACACACACACACACACACACACACTTGCCTTGCGAACCTGTGTGTGCCTTATGTTTTGTGGTTATTGTAATTCACCTCACTGACATATGCTGAGCCCTCCCTAAGTGGCTTCACTCCTGAAAATGCTACTGCTGCTCTGATTATTTTGCTGAGTATCCGAAACTAGAAGTGAGACCACTGAAAACTTCACTTGCTTCAGGCTTCCAACAGTGTAACTATAAAATAAGTAATTATAAAATAGAAAGAAAATCAGGTCACCAGCTAAAAGTAAATAATTATAAATAATCAGAAATCCTCCCACACAGGATCCAAATTACAAAGCAAGACATTTCTATTATAAATATTTGGCAGCTTCCATTGTCTGGTGATCCTCACTGAGAAAAATAACTGATATTTGCATTAGGAAAAGAAAAACCAACACTAGCCTTAAATTTTTTGTCTCTTGAATGTCATTTTATACACACTGTAGCTTGCTTCTGAAGATTTCAGAACACTGTGCAAATAATTATGAGCTCCCCATTACAGGACTGTCAGGGGAAAGGGGCTCTGAGAAAATAAAGTCTGTGCAAAATGACCCAGCAAGCCATGGTTGGAGAAAGAGCCCAACTCTGAAATCTAAGGGTCTATCCTTCTCTTTCGGCTTTGCTGGTAGCTCAGACGGTAAAGCGTCTGCCTACAATGTGGGAGACCCGAGTTCGATTCCTGGGTTGGGAAGATCCCCTGGAGAAGGAAATGGCAACCCACTCCAGTATTCTTGCCTGGAAAATCCNGAAAAAAAAACAATCTAGTATTTAACATATAAATAGAAAGCTCAGAAATCTGGTCCCCAAATTTGTTTGGATACCGGAAATTACCTTTTTTAAAAAAATAAACAGTTAAAATATCACCTGAAGGCACTCTTCTGAGAAGGAAAAGGCAGAACAAAGGGGAAGTAAAAGAAACTATCAAATCACTTTGTTGTGTATCAGGAACTAGTGTAGTGCTGTAAGTCAATTATACTTCAAAAACAAACCCATAGAAAAAGAGGTTTGTGGTTATCAGAAAGAGGTG